TCTGGCAGTTCCCCAGGGAGTATTCAACCGGATGCCTCCAGGACCTCAGAAGGGAAGCAGAAAGTAATGGCTAATCCCCCATTACTTATCGATCGCATACTTGGTTTTTCCAAGGGGCACCACAGTAACTAGGGACTGCTCCTTCAAGGACGAGGGAGGTGGAGAGGAAGAACAGCAGAACACCCGATTCACGCTTCATTCTTACGAGTAGCTGTTGTGTTGCTGCCGACGCCGGGCTGTCCGCATCTTCTCAAACCGTGCCTCCATCTCTTCCAGGACTTTGGGTGTGTAGCGCACAACCAGCTTCACAGTGCCCTGGGCCGCTTTCAGAAGCTCCACCGCCCGTTCATGCTGCTCGCCTTCCACGCTCTGCAGAAGACAGAAGCAAATCCAACATGGTAAAGATGGGGTAGGAGGGATCATGGCCCTTTTCCTACAGATAGCCAGCCCAACCCTTCATTACCCATCTTTATGGCTAGTGAAGTATTATGACAATCAGCAGTAAGATGGATGATTTCGTATGCAATTATCTTTATTTATTTATTTTTTAAAAAAATTATACCCTGCCTGATCTCCACAAGCTCCAAAGCTGCAAAGACACAATTGTGAGCATCTGATGAGATAGACGGCCACACACAATTGTTGATACAAAGCGCCATCAAGTTGCAGCCAGTGAAAGGCAACCCCATAGGGTTTTCAAGGTAAGAGATGAACAGAGATGGTTTGCCATTGCCTGCCTCTGTGTAGCAAACTAGGCTTCATTCGTGGTTCCCCATCCAGGTAATAATCCGGACTGACCCTGCTTAGCTTCTGAAATCTCCCCAGACTGGGCTAGCCTGGGCTATCCACATCAGTGAAATACACAACGAAGCACAGTTAAAAAGCCAATGCACACGCAGTTAAAAGCACCGCCAAAACACAGTTTGTTGGTGGAAAGTGCCATCGTCACAGCCGACTTATGGCGACCCTGTAGGGTTTTCAAGGTAAGAGATGTCCAGAGATGGTTTGCCATTGCCTGCCCCTGCGTAGCAACCCTGGGCTTCCTTGGTGGTCTCCCATCCAAGAACTAACCCGGGCAAATTCTGCTTAGCTTCTGAGATCTGATGAGCCATCCAGGTCAGGGCAAAAAACAGTTCACCCTCTAGTTCACCCTCACATACTTTCCTGAAGGCAGCAAGTGAAGGCACCTGCTGCAACCACTCTCTCATAAAGAGAAGGACTGTGATAACCGGTCATTCCCTTACCTTGAATAATGCTTTTATGTTCCCCTGCTAAGAGATCACTAATTACTTCCCAAGTAACATCTGCACCACCCTTTACCACAGTTCATGCAAAGACTCATTACTGCCTATTATTAAGATAAGATATTCATAACCGCTCTCTCTCAGCACACATCAGTCTTAACTTGATGATGGCCATACAACTGAACACGTGTCATTTCCCCTTGTCTAGAAGAACCTGACTGAAATAGGCCACCAAGGAGGCCGAACAAACATTTGAATGAAGATCTGCCAGGCAGGTACAGACTAGAACAGAAGAAGAGCCCTGCTTGATCAGACCAATGGTCCATCTAGTCCAGCATCCTTACACCCTATCTCACACAGTAGCCAACCAGTTCCTTTGGAGGGCCAATAACAGGACAGAGAGGCTGAGGCCTTCCCCAGATATGCCTCCTGGTGCAGGATTACATAAGAACATAAGAGACGCCAATGTTGGATCAGGCCAATGGCCCATCCAGTCCAACACTCTGTATCACACAGGTGCCATCAGGAGGTCCACCAGTGGGGCCAGGACAATAGAAGCCCTCCCACTGTTGACCCCCCCCCAAGCACCAAGATGACAGAGCATCACTTGCCCCAGAGCCCCTATCTATACCTTGTGGCTAATAGCCACTGATGGACCTCTAATTCCCTTTTGAAGCCGTCCATGCTTGTAGCCGCCACCACTTCCTGTGGCAGTGAATTCCAAGTGTTAATCACTCTTTGGGTGAAGAAGTACTTCCTTTTATCCGTTCTAACGGTTTGAATGTGAAGGTTCCCTTTAGTCACCATGGCTAGTAGCCACAGATAGACCTATCCTCCACAAATGTATCTAATCCTCTTCTGAAGAAAAAGTGAAGAGATTGGATTTATACCCTGCAACATAAGAACATAAGAGATGCCAATGTTGGATCAGGCCAACGGTCCATCCAGTCCAACACTCTGTATCACACAGGTGCCATCAGGAGGTCCACCAGTGGGGCCAGGACATTAGAAGCCCTCCCACTGTTGACCCCCCCCCAAGCACCAAGAAGACAGAGCATCACTTGCCCCAGAGCCCCTATCTATACCTTGTGGCTAATAGCCACTGATGGACCTCTGCTCCATATGCTTATCTAATTCCCTTTTGAAGCCGTCCATGCTTGTAGCCGCCACCACTTCCTGTCTCAGAGCGGCTTACAATCTCCTTTCCCTTCCCCTCCCCACAATAGACAACCTGTGAGGTAGGTGGGGCTGAGAGAGCTCTGAATGAACTGCTTGTGAGGGAACAGCTCTGAAAGAACTTGTGACTGACCCAGGGTCACACCAGCAGCTGCATGTGGAGGAGTGGGGAATCAAACTTCTCCCAGATTAGAGTCCGCACACTTAACCACTACACCAAACTGGCTCTCTAATCAGTTTGCTTTCACCATAACCGGGGTTTCTGCCGCTAGAACCACCCCTTAAGGGATGGTTGTAGTGGGAAGGCATCTGTTCACCCTTCCTCAACATTTTCCATGCTGCAATGATCATAGTCCCAGGAAAATGTCCTTTTCCAAAGTGTCTGAGTTTTTAGCAGGCCTCCTGGACTCCTGGTGCTTGGGGTATAGGGTCCCAGGATCAAGGAGTTCCAGGATGTAGTTGTAGTTGCTGGTCTGCCTAACATACACACTAAGTACTTCAGTGCCCTGGCTTCCGGTCTGGCTCCCGCGAAAGGCAGACGCATCCTCGGGTCGCTCCCGAGGGCGCCTTGCCCGCCCGCGGTGGAGGAGGGAATCCGCGCAAGCGGAGACCCGAACGAGCCCCTCAGATGAGAGGAGCTCGGATCCGGGGCGCTTTAGGGCGTTCCAGGGGGGAGTCTCTCTTTCGGTCGAGAGATCGGAGATTGAGACTCTCGCCATGCCCTGCCCCTTTGGACCTTGCTGCGTGAGCGACCCCGTTCTACGGGGTTTAGCGGAACCACCGGGCGTCACCGAGTGATGAAGCGAATATCCGAAAAAAATGGAAAAGAAAAGACTGGCGTAACTGTGAGTTGTCAAAATACAGAGAAAATGAACTAAGAACCTTTTCCCCCCCCCCTTCAGCGGAAAATGAGGAGGTTAATCCTCTATAAGCGAGAAAGAAAAAAAAGAAAAGAGGGGGGGAATGGACTGAGCGAATAGTTTTAGTCATCTCTTTTCTGAACTAAAAAGTCCCGGACTCTTCAGCCTTTCCTCAGAGGGAAGGTGCTCCAACAATGGCTCTTATCAGTTCTTCCTTTAAACACAAGAGCTGGTTTGCCATTTTAAACAGAAGAGCAAAGGGCAAGGAAAACCCACTCCTGATTCCTTTGCTTAGGTACTCCCCCCAACACGCACAGAGCCCCCCCGATTTCCCGCCACTCAATACACACCACACCATTGACCGACAGCAACTGATCTCCACGCTTGAGCCCTCCGTGACGGTCGGCCACCCCCCCCGGGATGATGCGGGAAATATAGATGGGAGAGTTCTGCTCCTTGCCCCCCATGATGTTGAAGCCCAGGCCTTCGTCCGTCTTGGGGAGCTCCACCACCCGTGGGTGCGCATGGCCCTCGCTCGCTGCAAAGGCAGCCACTGTCGCCTGGACGTGGGAGGAAGAGGAACAGATTTTCAACCAACAAGCGTTACATTGATTTTGGCATACAAGTGGGTTTTTAACTCCTACATCTTTTCTTTTTTTTCGTTTTCCTTTTCTGAGAGGCTTGCTCCCACCTTTGGCCTGCTTCATTGATTTTCATTTGACTCGTCCCCCCCATCATCATCAATCAAACTATCTTGTCCTGCACTCTCTCTCTGTGTGTGTGTGTGTGTGTGTGTGTACACAGGAATAAAGAGGAATAAGATCAGCTGCAAGGAACATGGATCACAGATCTGGACAAGATGATTTCCTTGGGGAGAAACATCACACATCTGGGCGGGCCGCTTACTCACGAGTAATTGGTGCCCAGGTCTACTTACAAGCAAGGACCCCTGCCTGCTCGGTCTGAGAGCTTGCAGGATAATCAGTGTCTGTGTTTTGCAGAACGAATCCAAGAGGGTGAGCCCGAAATCAGGGACACCGCATAGGATAAAGGCACAGAGAGCACCTAGTTATGGAAGCCATCCCAAGATAATCAGCTGACAGGGAAATAGCCATGGCAGCAGAACAAAAATTATTACAGGCATTAATTCATACCCATGGATACTGAGGAGAGGCTTTGGGGGTTCCAGGCAGGCATTCTTATCCAGAAAGACATTTCTGACCTCAGGGAGGTGGGTAAACTTTAAGGGGCATATTAAAAAAAAAAAAACACAGAAAATAATTTCCAAGATTTGTTTCTATCATGGAGAAGAAGAACCCACTTCTTCCCTCTTTTGCAATGTATTTCACAAATGTAATTAACGACATTAAACAGGAACCTAGTGACACCTTAAAGACCAACAGTGTTCATCCTGTCATAGAGCTTTTGTGAGTCAGGGCTTCACTTCATCAGATGTGTCGGAGTGTAAACTCACAGCCACTACTTATACCTGTAGTAGGTTGCTTGTCACTCCAAGAACAAGTAACTGCTGTGGATGAACACTCCAATGCATCTGATGAAGTGAGCTTGGAGTCACAAAAGCCGATGCTGGAATAAATTCTGTTGTCTTCTAGGTGTTACTGGACTCCTGTTTCATTGTGCTGCTACAGATTAATCTGGCTACTCCTTCAAAACAAACAAATCCACTGCTGATAATCTGACTTGCAATACCTCTCATGCACCTGCCACATTCAAATTTATTTTTAAGCAACATTTTCCAAGTGTACCCTGTTTAATATTTGTCTGGGATCTTTAGAAACAGATACACCCAGCTAGGCAATAGAAATTCTGCATCAAGAGAAATGGGATTCTGTGATTTGCATAAATTCAGAGTATCTGCATGTCTTAATTAATTCTGGTTTAATTAATCATGAGGAAAGAACAGTGAACAATGTAGGGCACCTCCACCTATGGAAAAATTCCTGGAACTGTACTTTCGAGGATACTTTTGTAACCATAAGGACTAGAAACTTGCTTTAGTAAAAGAGGGGAAAGCTACCACAGAATCCCACAGCTGCATATACCCAGCTTTGTCTATACTGAATATAATCCACTCCCCTTTTCAGTTCTAAGGAGAAAAGGGGGGCTACAGAAGTGTGATGACAGGTTAAAATACCTTAGCTGTGGCATGAGCTCGGATTTCCGGACTCCCGGTAATATCCAGCGTGTCGTAAAGCTGTTCATAGACCTACCCAAAAGAGACAAGAGTGGGGTCAGGAAGCATATCCATAGGACAGAACAGGGCACCCAAAATTAAGGCAGGAGGATGACCGGAGGGGGATACAGGTGGAGTTACCTGGAAATGGGAAACATCAGCAGCTATGGCTTTGGAAGAGATCGGAGGGGGCTGAGGAAAGATTTGGGGACTGGCAAAGGAGACAGTTTTACTGAGCAGAAGGACGGTGGGTGTGAAGGAGGGAGTGAGGTGATGAGGTATCTGGGGGCAGGGGTGTCAGTGGTGCTAAGTGAAATGGTGGAACCAGAAAAGGAGACAGGTTGTCCTCTGGGCCAGAGGGACAAAGTTATCCGGGGGTGGCGCAGCATGGTGCAGAAGGGCTCACCTCGCGTATGGCAGAGCAAAATTTACTCTGCAACACCCTCTGAAGGGCTTGCAGTTTCTGGGGGGGCACTTCCCCACTGCGCTGCAGCCGTTCCAGCAATTCCACCGCTCGGGCCACATCTGGGCAAGGGAGGAAAGAGCAGAGGCATCAGTGGCAGGGCTCAAAATCTTTGCTTCCAAGATCTGCAATCCCGAGTCCTTCTTAGCAGAAATATTCAGAAATGCGGGGGGG